ATTTTAACTTGATTGTTCCCAAATGTCTGATTGTCCCTGATAAAATCATTTAGAAGAAGTGGCTGGTGACAGGGAAGGGCAAAGGCAGGTAAGCGAAGAACAGCGGGAAAGAGAGGATTTTGCAGCCTGGTTGTGTTGGTCTGCTGGGGCTGCCGTAACGAAATAGCACAGACTGGACACTCAAACAACAAAAATTTGTTTCCTCACAGTTCCGGCGGCTGGGAGTCTGAGATCAAGGTGTCGGCAGGGTTGGTTTCTCCTGAGACCTCTCTCCTTGGCTTGTAGATGGCCACTTTCTCTCTGTGTCTTCACAGGTCTTCCCTCTGTACATGTCTGTGCCCTAATCTCCTCTTCTTATAAGGACTCCAGTCCGATTGGATTAGGGCCCACCCATATGACCTCGTTTTACCTTACTTACGTCTTTAAAGGTCCTACCTCCAAATATGGTTGCGTTCTGAGATACTGGGTGTTAGGACTCGAACACTGGACTTGGGGGAGTCAAAGGCATCAAAGGAAAGTGGGGGCAGTGAAGCAGGGCCTTCATGTGAGACCCCGAAGTCTACTGGGCTACGGGATCCTCCATGGGTCAAGTGGCCGGCAGAGCTTGGTGGAGCGTTCTGCCGTCCTCCACTCTGACTGCCGACTGGCAGGTTACCATGGGCAGAACTGAAGGTGTATAACTCCATGTCCCAAGGACGGATTTGGAAAGTCCCCCGTGAAACTGTTAGCTTTTATTAATTAAAGATTATTATTAATTAAAGGCTTCCCAACTATTTATCCACTTTGATCAAACAGATGACTCTCTCTTTGTGACCACAGTGAGCCCCAAGGGACGGGAACTGGCCGGAGGACATCCACAACCTCAAGACTCAGATCAGAAAGACACAGAGTGTTTGGACAGACGCAGAACAAGAACACCTCTTCAGGGCGATGGGATCATTGAAACTGTGGGACATGAAAATTCTGAAGGGTTTGGAGTGAGTGAGGAATGGTAAATGAAAATTATACTTGGACCATATTCTCACTTAAGGACTGATAAATACCAGTGATAACCTATTGATTTATTGTGCTATCTTTATTGTAATCATTGTATAAGATTTTAATAGGTTCACTTGGGATCTTGGTGCCCAATCTCTAAACTGTTTTCTCCATGAAGACTTTAGTTCCAAATGGCACATGCTCATGGGTAGCTATGTCTGAGAAAGGGCTGTATGGTACATTTTGAGACCCAAGTCTAAGATACTGTTTTATTGGGGGGGGGCGCATCATAGGCTTGAGATATATGGTCTCTTTCCTGGTTTATGGCTTAGCTCTTAAGGTACACGTTTTTCATTTTAATTTCAGGATCAATGTAAAAATGTCCCTCAAGCGTATTGAGTACTTTGAAAGGATACGCTACCGTATGACTTTCAGTGGTGGTAAAACATTAGTAATGGCATGCACCTTCTGGCCCTGGTGTACAACTCCAGCCCTCACTCACCACTCATTCATCCAATAAGTTTTTATCAAGTACCTTCTATATACCAGGCACTGTGTCCCCAGCCATGAGCACAACAGACAGGCCCCTCCCCTCAGGGATTTATAGCGTGTTAAGTGCCCAGGGTGACATAATAGGGAGGAACTGAGGTGACAGGGAGAACAGGATGAATGAGATGGAGAAGTAAGCAGAAACTGGATCATGCAATTGGAAACCATGGAATGACTTCACACATAGGAGTGAAGGGTTCCAATTCATGTTTTTAAAAGCTCATTTGGAGTGTTGTGTGGGCAAATGATTGTATGAGGTCAATGCTGAGTGGTCCAGGTGAGAGATGACAATGTCTGGGAACAGAGTGGTGGAGGTGATGGGTTTGAGAAGTGGACAGCTGAGAGGGGAGAATGGATAAGGTGCCAAAAGGAGCATATTGCCCTCGGGCAGGAAGGTCTGCTTGAAAAAGAGAAGACTGCATGAAGGGAAATGGGCTTACACCTAAGAGGTAAGACTTCATTCAGGCGATGAAGAACCTCCTTACAGCAAGGTTATTTTGTTGTGAAAAGGGCTACAGAGGTTGGAGTAATGGGCACATCCTCCCATGAGGGCAGCAGGAAGGAGGCTAGCAGGCCAGCCCTACATTGAATGATTCAGTGTGGTCCTGCGTGGAGACAGGAGGCTGGAATGGAAAACCTGATGTTGCCCTAGGCAATGAGTCCAGTCTGTAGGATTTCGTGTGCTCACCGGCCAGGCTCCTTCCTCTTCCCACTTCATTGTCTCATTTGGTAGCCACGAGCCATAAGTGGCCATTTAAATTTAAATGTATTAAATTAAATTTAAAATTCAATTCTTCAGTCACATTAGCCACGTTCCAGGTCCTTAAGTGCCACTCGTGGCTAGTGGCTACCTCATTGGTCAGCATAGCTATAGAACATTTCCATCCTCACCGGAAGTTCTTTTGGACAGTACTGCTGTAGAAAGTTCTCACTCTCTTGGATCAAACACCTCTGGGATTTTTCTAGGCACTACCTGCTAATCTCAGCTTCATCTTGCCAGTTCTCTGTTGTTGACCCTTTTGTTTCGGGCAGATATGGCCCAATGTTTGTCCCCCCAATCAAATTCATATGTTGAATTCCTAACCTCCAAGGTGATGGAAGTAGGAGCTGGGGCCTTTGGAAGGTAATTAGGTCATGAGGGTGGAGCCCTTGTGAACGGGATTAATGCCCTTAGAAAAGAAACACCAGAGAGCACCCTCGCCTCTTCCACCATGTGAGGACACAGGAAACAGACAACGATCTATGAGGGAGTGGGTCCTCACCACACACCAAATCTCCAGTGCTTTGATCTTGGGCTTCCCAGCCTCCAGAACCGCGAGAAATATATTTCTGTTGTTTAAAGCTACCCAGTCTATGGTATTCTTGTTATAGCAGCTCCAAGGGACTAGGATGTGTGCCATGCCTACTCTCTTATACTGCCCACCTTGTACCATCCTTGGGGCTTGGCTTGCCCTCACCTGGGATGTGGACCCCAAGTCTCCTCTCTTCTCCATGTCCCACGGCCACACACCAGGCCTACCCACTCCCAGGCCCAGAACCAGTTCTTAGACCAATGTGAGCTCAGCCACGGGCCCCATTTGCTAAGTCTAGCAGGTTGCATATTGCATATTCCAGAAGAGTCTGTGACCCAGGAAGCAGAGAGCCCGGACTGGGAGTAGGAATCACACCCTCAGTGCTGTCTTCGGGGTGACTGGCTGGGATTCTGAAGGGTGAGTGTTGACACGCTCTTTGGAGGCAGTGGCCCACGGGGAAAATGGACCGGGAGGAAATGCCATTCCCTGGGCAGTAAAGAAGAAGTCAGGGCCACAGAAGAGAAACAATAAATAAAAGAAAAGACACAAGAATTTCGTGTTTTCCCTGTACTTCAGAGAGCAGGTTTCATATATATTTCAACACCCGGCCTGCTCAAGAATGGAGCAGACATGCACGTGCCTGCAAAACCAAAACACAGCTGGTAGGTCTAATTTTAGGTCCCTGAGCATTGGCAGTGTCCCTCTATCTGATGAGTGCTGACTGATCTCCCAGAGTCTGTGCCAAGAGCTAGACTCCACTGGACTCACTGACAGTCATGTGTGCAAGCAGTGGGGCGGCACCTCTCTGAGCCTGGTTTCCCCAGGAGGGGACAGAGGCTGTCTGCTCAGGTGTGATCTCTTAGGACCAGGGGAAAGGGCAGCCTTCCCAAAGGTCTGCCCCTGGGCCTCAACTTGTTTTGGACATCTCTAAAAAAGCAGTCTTAGAAAGAAAAATATGATAATATGAGGCTTGTCTGGTGGGCTGAGTGGGGGCATTCAGGAAGAAAATATTTGCCTGGAATAATGGTTCCCTGGAGTATTATTTTCCATCTTGCCAGGAATGATCAGAAAAACAAGATTTCTGGCTGACAGAAGCTTCTAGAACCACACTGCTTGGGTTTGAATCTGCTTCTGTCCTTGACTAAGTTATACGACTTTGGGTGAGTTACTTAATCTCTCGGTGTCTTAGTTTCCTCATCTGCAAAATGATGCTGATAACAGCATCTATCTCATAGTACAATCCTGCAGGGCTGCTGTGAAGGGTAAATGAGTTCACACATGTAAAGTTAGAATGGAGCCTGGCACGTAGCAAACATTTAGTAATTGCTAGCTATTGTAATTAACCGATTATTCAGATTTCACACACTTAGCATTGATAATATAACAAGACAGCAAAGGGTTATGGTGAAGCGTGTTTGCTGGGATCAAAGCCCAGTTCTACCACTAACCAGCTCTGTGAATTTGAGCAAGTTAGTTAAGCTCTCTGTGTCTCGGTATCTTCATTGATAAAATGAAGTTAATAATATGGGCATATTAATAGTATCTTCTCCACATGATAGTTGTGAAGATTAACAGAGCTAATACATGTGAAACACTCAGAAGAATGCCTGGTATTACAGAGGAGGAACTTGATCAGACCTAGCTGCTATTATTATTATTATACTACTATTTTTATTGTATGGATTCTCAGCTTTCAAAGGCAAAGAGTACGGTAAAGTTCACTGAAGGCTGAAATGAGACTAAGCCTCATTTACTCCTGCTTTGATGAATCAGAGGGAACTGTGGGAACTTATAGGCACTAATTCAGTTAATCTGCAAATATTTGTAGAGCGTGTACAGTGTGTCCAGAACGAATCTTTGTTGTAAACATCCAGTAGCATTGTGCTGGGTTTAGGTGTTGCTGCCAACACAAAGGTCAATTCAGTGCCATCTGGTATGTCAACGCAAAGCTTTCCCAATGCTACAAGTACCATGGCATCTCTAAAACATCGCCAGCCCCCGAGCTGAGAAGACCCAAAGAAGGAAGAACTTGTCTTAGACCCCGAAACATCCTAGTGTGATTTCAAGTGTAGTCAAGGCCCAGACAAAGGGGACAGACTCAAGTTGAGACTTTGTGGTGTTTCACGGGTCCCCCTTCCCCGCCCCGACGCCTTTTCCTGTCACACGCCTCACCATTGCTGGCCTGTTGTACTGCAGAGATGACTAGAGGAAGACAGAAAACTGAAGGGACTAATGAGGATGGTGACCCTCACTCTCCTGCATCGCCCCAACCAAGGGTCGTTGGACTCTCTGTCTACCCTCAGGAAACCTCATCAGAGGCAGGTAAAGCAGCAGTAAGACAGAGGAGGCCACGAAGTGCCCTTCCTCTTTCAGGATGCACAGCTGCCTCGCTTTGCCCCGCGCCCCCTCGAGCCTGGCTAAGGCTGAGGGCTAGGTTTAGAAGTCGTGGTATCCGGTGACACCCGCTCTGTGAAGAAGTGAAAGCTAAAGGCAAGAACACGTGTGTGTGTTCTCCAGGGTCCTTGTCTGCTTTTGGCGCTCTGTCCTGCACACACGCTTTCCTTCTTCTCAGCGCTCTCCTTCCTCTGGGAGCAGGGCCCCTGTGGGGAGTAGCTCCCACCTGGCTCCATCACTCAGACAGGATGCAGGAGGCAGAGGGTGAGAAGGGAGGTTTGCCAGGGAGACAGTAGGAAGGAATGGACACTCCGGCACTTCAGGTGGAAATAGGTCCCTGGAGCACCCTCTCCTCTCTCTGTCTTTTCGTTGCCCTCTGGGGGAATTCAGCCTCTCTCCTCAGTGGGGCCAGTCCCACTTTCCGGGCCCAGCGATGTCTTCTCATTTCCTGCGAGCCTCAGCTCAAAAGAGCCAGAGTGAACAGCCAGAAAGTGGTGGCCAGGCATAGAGACCTGTTAGATTCCCAAAGCCACCCTCTGCAAGAGTTAGGGAAAACAAGGGAATGGATTTAGGATTTCTTTTTCTGAGTGAGGGTAGAAAAGAAAGGCCATTTCTCAGGCTCGGGAATGACACAGAAATAGCATCCCTCTTGTGCTTTCCTCCTTCAGTTGCTTTCAATTTAAGTCAATTAGACAGAGAAAGAGATCGCAAAACCTACAGCTGAACACGCCTGGGATTCTTATTTATCTATTTATTTATTTATTTGCCTTTTTATTTCTCTTCTCCCCCACCCCCAGCACCTTGTTCTTGAAACTTGTCTGGTTCAACATTTCACCGGCTTGGTTAAGTATCTTGTAAGGAAATCATTTATAATAAAGCTGGGATGCTTGGGTTTATCATTTCTAAGTGTGGGTCAGGGTTTAGTTCGCTATGTTAAACTCTCCATGCTGCATGTGATTTGTCAAGCTTTGTCAGGAACAAAAAGTTCCGGGATGTGCAAAGCAGGACGGCTTGGTTTCCATGGAGATTCTGCTAGTTAGGCTATGGAAATCCTGAAAAGGCCAGAGGATGAGTGACAATACAAGGATTTAGCGGCTGATCTGAAGAGCCAGACTGAATTAATGAGATTTTTCACAGAGCGTTATTAGCAGGGCTAGCACCGTATGGCTCTTAGGCCCGCGTTCTCTCAGCTGCAGTCTTGGAAAACAGAAAGGGAAAGATTTAATTGCTGTTTTTTAAAGCCTTTAAGATTATTTTAACCTATAACATTTTAAGGTGGTAATAAAAAAATGGGGTTCTTTTTTTTTTTTTCATCACTAGGTTACTGTTATGACTGTGTTTTTGGTGGCAGTTGCCCTTTATCTGCATAGAGATGGGAAATTCAATAGTACTTATTATATTGAGCAGTTAATTCCCACATACTGTGAACACATTACTGTTCAAAGTAGGTTATCTAGAGTTCCATTTAGAGCCGAGGGAGAGATACCATGTCACTGGCTTTATATCTCCTAGGGCTATATTAATTATTTATTATAGACTGCTGATGTAAACTGTTAACTCTGGCAGGTCATAGTTTGTACACATATCTATCCAGTGTCCTGGCTTTTTTGTGTTGGGATGCAGATATCTGAAAACAAGCAATTCATGTGGTGTTGAGTTTCATTCCACGCGCTGCTGCTGGTGCCGTTAGCAGCAAAAGGGAAGATGCTTAGAAAGAATTCTTTTGAATCATCATCAGGTAGCAATTTCATCCAAAGTTTGGGGGCCTTGCTGTCAGAAGGTCTTCTTCTCCCTCTTTCTTTGCAAGAACTGGTGCCGGAACTCCTAATTCCAGCTCCTTCCCTCGGCCGTCACGAACCGAGCTCCGAGCGTGGAAACTGTGGGTGTGATTAGCCTGGTTGCCTTTTCCTTTCCAACATCTTCCCTGCACAAACTCTCCGTAAAATGTCAGTATCTCCCGCCTCCTGAAACCAGCCAGCATGGTGCAGGGAAAGCAGCAGCCCAGGCTGCTCTTTTTTGCTGGTTCGCAGGAGGGCACATGCCCATATGTTTCTGGGAGACAGAAAAACTGTGTCGTTGCTGCTGAGTAATCCACAACAAAAGCGCATGCAGCTGCATTCCCCGGATTCCTGTACAGTAGACGAATCCACTTCATCTCGCTGTGAGCTTCCCCGGGCGGGAATTTCACAGTCTCTTTTGATTTAGCGGTTTGCAAAATCTCAGATTGAGTGCCTTTGCCTTCCCCTCGTTGTCTCTCTATTCCCTAAAGGATTTTGTGAGGAAGAAACCAGGGAAGTTGAAATAGGGGTCAACATGCCCTCGTCCTTCCCTATCTGGTTTGTCTTTATTGTGATTTTTAAATTTTAAGCTTTTTTTTTCTTGACTCTATAGCCACAACAGTATTTTATTTTTTAAATTACCAAATGTGCCCCTCTGCTTTGCCAATCTGTCCTGGGTGCTCCCAGCTAAACTGATCTCAAGTTTATCTCGGCCGTGGATTTGTATGTTACCAGTTACACTTGGCATCTAAGAATCCACTGCTCTGTGTGTCTTTAGAAGGGCAGTGGTGAGAGCAAAGGGGATGGGGTCAGACAGACTTGGCCTTAAGACCTGGTTCTTTCATTTACTAGCTGTGTGGTTGTGGGCAAGCAACTTAACCTCTCTGGTCTTGATGTCCTCATCTGAAAGTGAAGATTGAATGCCATAGCATATGTAAAGTACCTGGGTCCCCAAATATAGCAGATATTCAACAAACTATCATAATAATAGCTGTCATTCACATGAGTGTACATATTTTGCACGAGAGTGATTTTTTGGGGGCATTTTGTTAAGCCCTTTGATGTGCCTTTTTCTGGCATCTCTGCTTAGATTAAGCTTCTTGAAGTTAAGAGTCGCAGTTTCCCATTTATTTTGTAATTGCTAATTGCGTTTAGTTTGTGCTATGGGCCACCTCATTCTCTGCCTCTTAAAAGTGCTGATCAAAATATTTGGGGAAATTTACCTTGGATCAAGTCGTATAAATTATAGAAATAATAAGATGTTCAGTTGAAAAGCTGCCTGTTATATTAAGGTTCTCACTTAAATTTTAAATTGAGTAGCAAAGCAGTAGAATTTGTGTCCAGCCAAAAGGAGAAACTCAAAAGGAAAAAAAACCACAAAGGCGAAGTAAAAATTAATGGGTTTTGCTATTGTTGTTGTTTGGTTCCCAGTTTTCCTTTTTTTTTTTTCCTAATGAAATTCTCTGCAAGACCCTTCAGACTAATGGAAACATTTCTTCTGCTCCTTGGAGAGAGCTGTCTCCTCCTTTCTCCATATCTTCCAGGGAAGGAGAATTCGGAGATTTTTTCCATAGACACCTCTGAGTAGGAAGAGTCCTGTTGCATTGAAGCTATGCTCCAACTCACTCCAATTCTAGAAATAAAGCCCCCAGCTCTCATCAGTGCTGGTTGATACAGAAGGTAAAAACTTCACTCTGATATCTGGGAATGGGAGATGTAGCAGTTCTTTATGTTTTAAAATCAAACCACATGTGACTCCAGGCTCCCACCACCTGATTGGAGGGAGGCCCGGGCCCAGCCAACACAGGGCTTCCGGGCTCTGGGCTCCATCGCTCAGTCACTGCCTGATCTTGCCAAGTTACTTAACCTGTGTCCTCATTAGTAAAATGGGGTCACTGGTATCTCTCTTGTCTGTGGATGGTTATTGTGGAAGATTAAATGAAACCCTGTGTGTAAGTGCTTAGAACAACGCCTGTCTCATATCAAGTGTTCAGAAGGCATCAGTTTGATCATAACTTTGATGATCATTATTATGAGTTGAGAGACTTCTGTGATACCAGCAAAATGGGGCAGTAACATGATACTTAGTCTATAACTACGACCATCCCTTATCAATTCACTCCTCGTGCTGCTTGATGCTCTACCCAGTGCTGGTCCTCTACCACCTGTTGGGCACCTATGTGTGCCCCGGGCATGTTAGAGTGGTTGCCTAAACGAAGCTCAGTACCAGTGGCTCCTCACCTGGAGCTGTGCTCCGAGAATACAGTCCCCAGAAATCCACAGTCCTTCCCCCAGAGGACTAGCTTCCTTTCTGTAATAGAATGGGGACAATGTCTTTTCTACTCATGCAACTACCCAGTTTCAGAGTCTCTCTCCCTCAACCAATGGGCCAATGGGTTCCTGGGCAATCCAGTGCTTTAGGACTGCAGTCTTTAAACAAAAGTCTATTAATTCTCCCCTGGAGCAAAAGATGCTCCACGTGTAGAATGGGAACTCCCTCACCTCACTACTCTCTTATAGATGGGATGTGGTATGAGGGTGGGATTGGGGTAAAGGAAAAGTACCTTTTGTTCCTTTGTGATTGTGTTGAGCCTATAGCAGAAATCAGGACACAGCTAATCTCTTATTCAGATTTCATGCTGGCTTGAAGGCAAGTTTTGGACAGCGTGGGTTTGGTACTTCCACCCTCTACCCCTCTCTAGTCTGAGCCAGCAGTGTTCTAGGGGCTGGGCTGAAGGAGTGGTACCTTTTGTCCAAGATGAAGTACTAGGCACTTTGGACAGATGCCTGAAGCAGAGTTTTAAGGAGCTGGTGGGTCAGAACTGAATATCCAGACCAAAGCCAGACTATGAAGGCCAGAGCCGCTGAAACAAGATAGGAAGCCAACAGATTAATGGGCCTTAGGGAGCCAGCATATGAGGGGATTCCAAGAGGAAGGAAGGAAGGCTTATCTGGAGGTATTTCTAGTTGTTCACAGTGGCTTTTCTTTGTTTGCCATATATGTCACTTGTTTCTGTCCTATTCTAGGATTATTGTCCTCTAGTGGCCTATATGCTTCCTTCTTTTTACTCCCTCATCCCTGGCATGCTTGTACTAGTGTCTCAGGCCATTTAGGGCAGCAAGCCCATTAACTATGAACCCCTCTAAAAA